TCCTTCTTTTATTCTTTAAAATAAAAAAAGAAAAAAAATATTTTCCATAAAAATATTTTCCAAAAATATTTTCCAAAAAATTGTAGAGTCTCTCTTTTCTCTGTTTGTTGATTCCTTTGCTTTGCAGAAGCTTTTTAATTTTCTATGATCTCATTTTTTGATTCTAGATGTTATGTTGCGAAGCTGGGTTTCTACACATGATCACATCAATAGATACAGAAAAGGCTTTTGACAAAATCCAACACGGCCTCATAATAAAATCCCTGAAGAAAATAGGTATAGAAGGATCATACCTGAATATGATAAAGGCTACTTATGATGAAACCAATAGCAAGAATTGTATTACATGGAGAAAAACTAAAAGCATTCCCCCTAAAATCAGGAACAAGACAAGGGTGTCCACTGTCACCTCTTCTTTTCAACACAGTACTTGAAACATTAGCAAGAGCAACTCAGCAAGAAAAAGAAATAAAAGGGATACATATAGGAGAGGAGGAACTCAAACTGTCATTATTTGCAGATGACATCATACTTTACATAGAAGATCCAAATTCTTGGGGTTGGGACTCTATGGTACAGAGGTTATCCAGCACTTGTATGACCTCCACTGAAAAAAAAAGACGAGGAGGAAGGAAAGAAGGGAGAAAGGCAGAAAGAAAGTAGAGGAAGAGGATAAAAGGAGGAGAGAAGAGGAGAGGGCATGGGAGGGGAAGGAAGGGGAAGTCCTATAGCCATAGATTCATCAGCACCTATATGGGCCCATATGCAAAACAAAACACTAAAAGTTATATTTTATAGCCAGGCATGGTGGCGCACGCCTGTAATCCCAGCACTCAGGGGGCTGAGGCAGGAAGATTGTTGAGAGTTCAAGACCAGCCTGGGCTACAAAGTGAGCTCAAGGGCAGCCTGAACTACATAGTGAGACCTTGTTTCAAAAAGACAAAAATAAATAAATAAATAAAAATTATATTTTATGACTGTATGGGTGTAAAGATGAACATAACCCTCAATGAACCTTAAATGTTCTTTCTTTCTGTCAAATTTTCAAAGGCATTAAAACAACTTCATGAGCCTCCTAAGACTATAGAGGCTGTGACACACTATACATCGTGAATAAGTCTGAGACATTTAACTGAAAAATAACCATGAGATTCTGGACCACTTTCATGAGATATCTAAAGAGATCCTGGACAGACAGCAGTTTTCTCATGTTCTGCTTGATTAACCTGCTACCTCAAGGGCTGTGTCAGTATGTGGGTGCACGTGGGTGTGAGTATTCTGCACTCCTTTGGAACACAGACTTTGCCTTAAGAAAAGCAGCTGCAAGGCAATCCCTACTTTCCAAGAGATAACTGATAGGCAGGCATGGTGGTGCATCCTTGTAATCCCAGCACTCTGGGAGGCTGAGCTAGGACCATCACAAGTTTCACCTCTGCCTGGGCTACTTAATAACTAAGTGAGACCTTGCCTCAATATAAAAAGAAAAATTGTTAAAGGTTTGGAGAATGAGCTCAGAGCAAAGGCCCCAGGTCCAATGCTCAGTAACCATGATAAGAACAAAGAGTTCACTGACGAACTCAGAATGTCACAGGTGTCTGCACTCTAATGATTTTGCAGCATTATTCATGAGAGGTAAGGCCTCAAAGCACACTCGGTCCTTATCACCAGACAAAGACAGAAAGAAATCCTGTCATTCACACCAGCACGGCTAATCCTGGAGGACATCCTGCTAAGTGAAATAAGCCAGGCCCAGCTACCACATGAGCTCACACATGTGGAATGTAAAGAAGTAGAACTCATAGAAAGCAAAACATTCATTGCAGGGAGCAGGAAAGTTGGCACTCAGGGAGATGTTGGTCAAAGGTTACCAGATTTGTTTGTTTGGTTTGTTGTGTTTTTTCGGTTTTTTGTGTTTTTTTTTTGGTACCGGGAACCGAACTCACGACCTCCCACTTGCCAGGCAGGCGCTGTGTCGCTGAGCTAAATCCCCAGCCCCTAGGTTACCAGATTTGACTTAGATGACGTAAATGCATTTAAGAGATCTATTGCCAGGCATGGTGGTACACACCTGTAACCCCAGCACTTGGAGAGGCTGAGGCAGGAGGATCTCAAATCCAAGGCCCACCTGCCTCTAGAGTGAGCCTCTGTCTCAATAAAACAAAGAAACAAAAAGAGGTCTAATGTACAACAAGGATACTGTAATTCATATTACAGTAATGGATTGCAGGCTTGAAAGTACTGAGAGTAAATTTTCAGAGTTCTCACCCCAAAAAATGCTTTGTGAAGCAATGCATGTGCTAAATAGTTCAATTTAGCTGTTCCATAATGCCTATATACTTTAAAACCTCATGTTCTTGACAAGATAACTACACGCAATTCTGGATGTCAATTAAAAGAACTGTACAATTTAGAAAAA